GATTTTAAAATGGTGCATATTAGTACCTAAAGTGTACATTATTAGTAGCTAAATGGTACATTTAGTCCCTATTTTGAACGGGTACCACCCCAGTGAAAGCTTTTGTACCTTTTTAATGAAAAACTGACTCACCATCTCTTCTCCCTCTCTCCCTCCCTCTCTCTCTCAGGTAAAACATGTCGTCATCATCTAGATGCTGTGCAGCAGGGGTGTTCATCCTCCCCTCGCTCCTTCTTCTACCCCTTTTCCTTTCTCTCGTTTGTGGAGTTCAAGGGGCCACGCTAAGAGAGCATCGCCTAAGCGAAAGTGAACCCGTCTCTTATGGACCAGCATCCCAGATCCGTCCTCCTCCGAGTGCCGAGATGCTCAGAGCTCTACGCTACATCCAAAGCCTCAGCCAGAGAACCCCACCTGATCACCTTGATGACCAGCAAGACACTTCAGACGACATGGAGAGCGTTCGCTCCCTGCTACAACTGGCAGCTCCTGCCCGGTTGGATAGAGGTATGGAGGTGAGGGAGGAAGAGAAGGACAACACTCAAGAGTTGCTGCAAGCAGTGCTTACCACACTACAACAGACCGAGGAACACATGGTGCCCCAGAAAACCTCCCAGAAGGTCATCGCACCATCTCAACCTCGATACACTGTCCAACCCTTCCCAAGACCAAAGCAACAACTAGAAGTGGAAACTTCAGCTGAGAATTACGGAAGGACCTCGTGGGCCAATCCGGATAGCCGGAGACAGCACCGGAAGTTCCCACTTGTGTTTGAGAACGAGGAGGATCAGGAGCAGCCTCTCAAACGGACCAACGAGAAAGCAGAAAAACAGTACACACCCCAGAACCTGGCGACCCTTCAGTCTGTGTTTGAGGAGCTAAGTGCAATCTCCACATCTAAGGCCAACAGCAAACGGGAGGATGGTGAAGATGATGATGATGATAATGACTTGTACAGGCAGAGGAAGATGGTCTTGGAAGACATCATGGGAACTGATGAATGGGCACCTTTGGAGGAACAAACAGAGACCGAAGAAGAAGAAAGAGAGAGGCATGGGTTTAATCGCAACCTTGAGGATGATGAGCAAGAGGAGGAGGAGGATGAAGAGGACGATTATGTCAAAAGATCCAACCAACCCGACTGGTTCCAGACAGGAAAAGAGGAGGAGCCTGAGGACATTGCAAAGCTTGTGGACTACTATCTTCTGCAAATCCTAGAAAAGAAAGAGCAGGAGCAGCAGAAAAGACAAGAGGCCAGCAAGAGCGAGCAAGAAAGCGACAGACAGGTGGAGAAAAAAGATGTGGATGAAGATGATGGAGAGGAGGATGACGTGGAGGAGAGGGAAATTAGGCCAATACACAGCACAATCCCTGAGCCTTTGTCCAAGATAATCACAATCTCACAGAAGCTACGAATCCCACCGGAGGAAGTTCTTGAGCTTCTCCATAATGAGAAGCAGAAGGATTTATTGGGAACCCCAAAGAAGTCACGTACACCCTACGCAACCGCTCACAAGACCTTCGCCGCAGCACCTCACCGATGGCCGCTCGAGACATCGGAGGGCAATAGCATCACCCAGGACATCATGAATATCCTCAAGCTGGTAAACGCAGCACAACAAAACAACAACCGACCAACGCAACCGAAAACATCACGTTATTATGAGAGGAAAACCAGCAGGGATGATTATGACGACACTGCCGGTGAGGAAGACGAACTTGTCAATTACCTGGCATTCGAAATGTTCGGGCATGGACAGAGACGTGCACGTCTGACGCCATTACGTGACAAGGATCAGCCCATGTACGAACGCGGTGACTACTTCGATAAAAGCGTGCCAGAAAAAAGACCCGCAAATCACGAGAACGCAGTGACAGGATTAGACAACAACACAATACTGCAAATCCTGCGGTATCTGGATCCGGAGAGCGATGATGCCGACGAAACGGACTCTGAGGGGAAAACAGTCCCTGAAATGTAGCTGTGTAGATAATGATTATATTCATTGTTTGAAGTTTGTCATATAATAAAGTATTTTGAAACAAATATATCCCCTAATTGCATTTAGTCAATGTAGTGCTCCAGCTTTTCTCATTGCTTGTTCTGTATAGCGAAAAAAAAGAGTATTTTAGTAAACTCAATGAATTTGTTTCTTAGTTAGCGAATAGAACAATGTAAAAAGTCACTGGCTTTACCTCTTTAACATATGAACACACACAGATTTTCTCCCTCCTAACAACGCCAGTTATGTTTTCAGTCAGTCAGTATCTTGTGCGTGTGATGAGGTCATGTGTGACGTGGCAGAGGTAAATAAAGCATTTGTTCACACCATGGTCCTCTGTGTAATGCTTCTCTCACTGCCGAGCAGCCTCTGCAACCTTTGCATGACATAAAATCTTGTTGTTGTTTTTTGGTGATTGGTTTCTGTTTCATGTGCAACCAGGGTCATAACAGCCTGAAATGCATTTACATTTGAGTCATGAAAATTTGGTTACATATTTAAATGCATGTATAGAATAAGCTGTAATTATTCTACTACAATTCATACATTCTCAAAAAAACTTTTATTAAAATGCATTTTATTACTTTTGACTCAATATCTTGGCCAGTCCTTGCAACACTTTTCAGATTTTAATTTTTTTTTCTTTCAGTTACTGCCTCTGAAATAATTTACAGTCGAGCAGACAGGATCAGGTTGTGTACATATAGTATAAACACATCTGTGAGAACATGATGAATCACCACCTAAAGAAAGCTTGTGTGTGTGTGTGTGTGTTTCACCTCCTGAAGAGAATCTGCCTCCTCCATTGATTTGGCCACAGACGCTTTAGATGTTTCCTGCACTTTTCCACCAATAACAAACTCATCCAGGATAAAGTAAGCTTTCTCAAAGTTAACAATAATAATTCACACACCTGCAACACACACAAACAGATATAGATGCCAAAAACATAAATACATGACTCACGGTTCAGAAAACACATTATCATGCTCTTGATGACATAAAAATCTCAGAAGATGAGTAATATTACTCTGAACAATATATGCCATACAGTTCAAAAGTTTGAGGTTGGGAATATTTTTAATGCTTTGGAAATACGTTTCTATTGCTCACCAAGGCTGCATTTATTTAATCAATAAATACAGTAAAAACAGCAAAATTGCAAGAAGTACAGAAAGCATTGTAATGTTTTTTTTTTAGACTAAAAAATTACTACATGAACCATTTTACCTTTAATACCCTCTTAAAATTAAATATAGTTTACATAGACACAGTCATGCGTTTCTCACTAGTAATGTGAACATGAAACTGCAAATTTATGTTTTTAACCAAGAAAAGAGATAAAAACAACAAACGCACCTTTGTATTTGTGATACAAGAGGAAATACAAATGTCCCTCTTATCAGCACAAGAACAGCGTGTGTGTGTGTGCGTGCAGTAAAACACAACAAAGGGTCAAATATAAGGACAGATCCCAGACAAACAGCTCTACAGGAGAGAAAACACAAAAAACAAAGCTCTATCTGACCTCAGACTGACACTCGGATTCGTATCTTAATAGTTTGGACCTGTTTGTGATTGTTAATGCAAGAAAAAGGCAGCAACATTAACAAGAAGACAGCAGTTGCACACTCGTGAACCTCACCATCCTGAGACTCCCACAGATCCTAAACGAGCCTGCGCGGGGCGCCGCACGGGTTCATGTCCAGCTGATAAGGGCGCGTCCCAGCAGCTCAGCCTCACACCTGCTGGCTTTACCTGGTCAGGTGCAGCGAGGACATCCTTTCCGCTCCAGTAAATTCTCCTGAGATAATTTTCAAATACGATTTGATAGCCTAATTATCTATTCGTTATGACTAACCCCCTTGTGACCCAGCCATACAAAAACAATAGCATCCAAAGATTATCAACGTATTAAACAGTAAAAATGTTTTATATGGGTCTATGTTTTATTACCGCGATTCTGTGGTTATTGTTCTACAGTAGGCCTATTATTATCATTAGACTACCCTATACACAAGCATAATAAATAACTGCATATCATGCGACGTTTCACGCATAGGCTAGATCTCCTCATTCTGGACAACTTTGCCTCATGAACCACTGCTGTCAATCAAATCGCTCTTTAATTATTTGAGATTATTAAACAAACAAACAACTTTAGTGAACTACCCGGTGTTTTTCCCATCAACCTCGACAAAACCAGTACAAATCTCTGGACTCCCAAGATCAATAATTATCAAACAACCTGAGTATGTGGATGGCTGTAACAGGGTCATTTAGAATATTGGTGTGATCAAGTTTAACAAAAAGCCTATAATTCCTAAACGAAACCTCAGAAATTTGCGAAATGAGCCAAAATGAGGTAGGCATGCAATATGATTCTGAACAAACACTACATGCAAACTTTTATGGAGATCGGGCAATAGGTGGGGCTATAACAGTTATAAAGTTATTAAATAACTTTGATGGTGCATTAGCTGAAATTGCTGAAAATTGTCTTTTTTTAATCTCTCTAATGATTTAGACGGTTACAGGCAACATCTGATAGACGTCTTTAAGATGTCAGTTTTACATACACTGTAAATCATAAACATCTTAAAGACATCTTCTAAACGTCTATTTGACATCTGATAGGAAACATCCTATAGACGTATTGCAGATGAGCAAGCACTCTAAAAAAGACGTCTTGCAGATGTAAATGCAGACGTCAAATAGACATCTCCGTGATGCACGTGCTGTGCTATCAGGGAAATAGATGATCTTATATTTTCTTAGCTATTATCAAACTGTCAACTACAAACGTATTGCTTTGAAACATCAGAGGTCTGACAGTCAGAGGCGTGTTATTTCGTTGATTACCGGTAGAAGGCAGAAAGCGTTGGGCAGCGGAGAGTGGCGTGGATCTACGTGCACTCATGTGACCCCGGCGCCGGTTAAAAGCACCGGCGAGCATCCGCGAGCACAGCGGGCGACCTGAGCGACAGCGCGGGTGTGAGAATGTCTCTGTACCGGAACTCAGCATGGTTCCTCAAAGGACTCACCGAATTCACCAAGTAAGAGCTGCACTGCTTCAGAAATCTCACAACACCTTATTACAATATTAACAAACATAATGCTTAATTAATACATATTCAAATACATAATATGATGTAATATAATTGGCTACTACTAATATAACATAGGCTAATATAATATAACGTTACATAAATTCTCATGCAATATTTCATTTAATATTTAACATCTATAATTATGATGTTAAATAGCCTATTGCATGGGTCAGATTTCAGTTATTCTACTACAGCTGTTTATCTCTTATTTTATAAAATGTATTTAATGCATTTTTTGTAATTTTATTTTTATTTCTGTGTTTATTAGGTTGTCTTTATTAATAGGAGTTTTTGTATAATGGGCACTGAGAAACAAATAACAAATAGTTTTGACCTTAAATTTTAATTTTACACTCTAAAAAATGCTGGGTTGTTTCAACCCAACTTTGGGTCAAATATGGACTAATTAAGCAGTGGGGTTAAATTTTTTAATTAAAATTTTAATGCTAAAGTTGGGTTAGTCCATATTTGACACAAAGTTTGGTTGAAACAACCCAGCATTTTTTAGAGTGTAATTTATCAAAATATTTGGACATGTCCAGCATTTGTCTGTAGGCCTACTTGGAGTTTTAACCATATGATGCAATAATTCTTCAATCATAAGGGAAAACATTTCTTAATGTTTGCTTTTTACTTCAAAACATATTAATCCGTTTTTCTTCAAAATGATGCAAAAAGAAAGTGTTGCACGTCATAAACAGTGACAACATAAATCATGGCAAGGGTAAAAACTTTCAAAGTCAGTTTCTTACATTTGCAAAACTAACTTTATTTTTTAGACAGCATAATACGGTGATATAATAAATGGTGCACCGAATATGTTCAAAAAAACACAAAAAGTGTTATTTTTAACACATTCTGCAAACTCAGGGTCACATGTTGCTTTTCGTTTTCCATGAAGTCCAGTTTTATAAAAATGATTAGCCTATAAATTCTTGGGAGTCAGAAAAACACTCAAAACGTGTCATCTCACTGCTGCTGTTTATCTTGCAGTGGCCCCTGCATCTGTTTTTTCCTCCTAATACATTGTCACCCGGGTCAACCTCTCACGTCCCATAATGGGACACACATCACCCTTAACAGTGCACGCATTTACAGAGAAAAGCTTGATTCCCCCCGGCACCTCCTCGCTCCTCTTCATCCCTCCGCCTGGCCTGACACGCGTGGACAAAGCCAGCCTTTGAGATCGGGTCAAGGGCACGAGCGCCGCCGATGCCAGGAGCAGTGCTATCAGAGGACGCACTGATAGCTCGCTCTCATTAGCTAAGCGATGACGCAAGGTGGCACATTAGGACAGGACTTCTCGAGTGGTTTCGCTTCAGGACTTTAAGTGGCAAATGAATACAGAACCTTAATTTTACAAAAGCATACAAAAATCAACACAGAAACACATTCCCAGCTAACAGGAAACGTTTTCAGAACTTCCCTAACATTCTGGCAAGTTTCTCTTAAAGGGGTCATATGATGCGATTTCAAGTTTTTCTTTCTCTTTGGAGTGTTACAAGCTGATTGTACATAGATAAGATCCCTAAAGTTGCAAAGACTAAAGTAACAAACATTCTTGCAACGTTAACAGAACTCTTGTTCAAAGTTATCTGGTGTTTAATAATGTTCTCAAATCAGCACAAAACATTATCTGTACATCATTAATGGAATGTTTTTTTTTTTTAAATGTTGCTACTTGTTACTTTTGAATGTTCTCTGAACGTTCTTGGACATTTATTTCCATGTTTGCAAACTGCTAAAATGGAATGTTCCACTTAAAGGGTTAGTTCACCCAAAAATGAAAATTAGCCCATAAATTACTCACCCACAAGTCATCCTAGGTGTATATGACTTTCTTCTTTCAGACGAATCCAGTCAGAGTTATATT